AGCGGCCAATACTAATCTAAATCCAGAACGGTAAGTTGGACCTCAAGTACGTCAAAGTAGACGACCTCCTAACCACCATTTCAATTTTTCGGGAAATTCAAGAAACCTGCAATTTTAATCGGGTAAGTTAAACGATAATACAGATTAGGAAAATCTACAGATATAAATCAATAACACTTCAAAATACAGTGAAATAAAAATGTATTTAGCGTTTAGTAAAGTATATTCCATTGCGTGTCCTAATTCCCGATTCATAAAACCCTATAACCATCGTTTTCACAGGAGAACATGTAGGGAGTAGGGATTAATGAGTGGGCCTACATAAGCTACTGTTGCCGATTTTAGTTCAAAATGTCCATCCACTTAGGAAAAACAAGGGGCATCAATGAGCATCGCCAAAAAAGTAATGATATCGACAGTTCGTTTTGTTACCCGAACGCAAGATAAACTACAATAGTTATATTGATAGACGTTGTGGAAATGTACTAAGATGCAATTATGGACTGCAATGATGGTTCTAGTCAATAAAATAAAGTCATTTCGACGGAAATAAACGAACAGGACAAAACCCACTATTTATCCGAAGATATACTTATTGTATTCATTTGTCTAGTAAACCAATATGAGCAGAAAACTAAGCAGACGTTTTGTACCTTTAGCGAAAAAAGGTTACTTATTGGCAGTCGCAAGCCTACTGAATGGGTTAGAAGAGGTGGCGGAGTTCGTCTCCCTGTAGATCCCGTCCGCATTCAAGTAACGCATCAACTAATATATTAACGAACGTAAAATCTAACATTTTCTCTGAAGGAAAATACCAGGTCACCATAGGCTCAGTATGTAGATAAAAATTGATCTGCTTTTACAGCAGCCATAAAAAGCGATTAACAACGTTTGGCTTAGAAAAGAGAGACACTTTGAAAAAAAAAACGCTGCTCGGGCGTTTTATCGTCTCGAATTCCCCGGAGGGTATCATTATGAAATAACGTAACAAATAACATGCCACGGTTTCGTACTTTTGACTGTGGCATTAAAACACGCAATCAGGTGGATAGTATTCCAACAGGTTGAACCTACGTTTTTCATGATTGAGAAATTTGTATTCGGCCTGCAAATTAGGGACTATCTAAAGCATATGGTCAATCAAACGAAGGGAAAAACCGAATGAAACTTCCAACACTACAAGAGGCATAATAATCTGGTCTATTTCTTTATAGATACTGTGCAAATACATACAATTAAGATACGTTTTAGACAGTCTGTTTATTCAGAGTAATGATGTGGTAAAATCATAGATATTTTAAATAATAAATTCGTTTGAACGCAAGTGTTATTCACTAAATATCAGCTCTTTTGTATGGTTAAAAACCGACAGTACCGGAAAACCATTGTTTAGGTTTAAACTTAATCAGAATGGAAGATCTGGTACCCAGAATCACTGTTCACACCCATGAGTTTCCATTCATAAGGTGGACAAAACTGCCTCAGAAAAAACTTTGCAAGCTAGGCGTTCGACGTTGAAGAGGTGCTGACAATCTCGCTCGCTCGGACAACACCTTGTTAACTAGTACATATATTCCTTTTCGACTTTACAATAAGGTGTTACTTACGGATAGGGTGTACTGTAGGCAGAGTAATGGTACCGACAGGGAGAGGGGAAACTGGAATGACAATTTCAGGTTTATTAAAAGTCAGTAGCCAGCCGCATCCTACTCCACCACTGAGGCTCGAACCCACTTTCCGTTGGCGAGGAGTCCAACGTCCTAACTATCTAATCATGGGTCAATTATCTTGT